TCGGTGATGCCGTTTGGGCTAGCCAACGCCCCAGCTGTGTTCCAATCATTCATTAACGAGATCTTCAGGGACATCTTGAACCAGTATGTTATTGTCTACATTGACGATATTCTGACTTACTCAAAGTCTGAAGCTGAACACATCAAACATGTCCAGGACATCCTCTCTCGTCTCCTTAAGCACCAACTCTATGTAAAAGCGGAAAAATGTGAGTTCCATGTCCAGAACACCACGTTCTTGGGGTATCACATCAGTCATCAAGGAGTCGAGATGGACACTTCCAAGATCCAGGCAGTCATGGAATGGTCCCAACCATCCACAATCAAGGAACTTCAAAGATTTCTAGGCTTTGCCAACTTCTACCGGCGTTTCATCAGAAACTACAGCACGATCACCTCCCCGTTGACGTCTCTTCTGAAGGGGAGACCTTTCACTTTCACTTCAGCACCTATCCAGAAACACCCTGACCCTAACCTCCCATTTGTAGTGGAGGTGGATGCATCAGACTATGGAATTGGGGCAGTACTGTCACAGCGTCATGGTCAACCAGCTAAATTGTACCCATGTGCATTCTTTTCAAGAAAACTCACTTCGGCCGAAAGAAACTATGATGTTGGTAATAAGGAGTTACTGTCCATGAAAGCTGCGATAGAGGAATGGAGACACTGGTTGGAGGGAGCCGTTCACCCGTTCCAGGTTATCACCGATCACAAGAATCTTGAGTATGTGAAAAGTGCCAAGAGACTAAACCCACGTCAGGCCAGATGGTCACTGTTCTTTTCAAGGTTTCAATTTACTATTCACCTATCGCCCAGGAAGTAAGAATAGCAAGGCAGACGCCCTCTCCAGGTGTCATGATCCTCCTCTCCAAGATCATTCTCCTGAACCCATTCTTCCTTCCTCTGTAATTACTACCATGAATAGAGATGTAACTGATTACGTGAAAGCTTGCCAAGTTTGCGCGCAATCTAAGACCCCCAAGGAACTGCCATCCGGTCTTCTGCAGCCGCTACCTATCCCGCAACGTCCATGGTCTCACCTGTCAATCGACTTTGTTACCGATCTCCCACCATCCCAAGATTTCACTACAATTCTAGTCATCATCGACAGATTCTCTAAGTCTTGCCGCCTCATTCCCCTCAAAGGTCTGCCAACAGCCATGGAAACGGCTCAAGCTCTATTTCACCAGGTGTTTCGAATTTATGGCTTACCCGAAGACATCGTCTCGGATCGAGGGACTCAATTCACCTCTCAGGTGTGGAAAGCTTTCTGCCGACAATTGGACATCAATGTGAGTCTGACGTCAGGCTATCACCCACAGTCAAACGGTCAAGTCGAGAGACTCAATCAGGAGATTGGTAGATATCTGAGAACCTACTGCAGCCGGGAACAGAATCGGTGGGCAGAATTCTTGCCTTGGGCAGAATATGCCCAAAACTCATTAACCCATGCCTCTACAGGACTCACCCCATTTCAATGTGTACTAGGATATCAACCTCCTTTGTTCCCGTGGTCTGGCGAACCTTCCTCCGTTCCTGCGGTAGATGACTGGATACGTCGTTGCGAGAGGGTGTGGAATAGCGCTCATGTTCATCTTCAAAGAGCTGTACGAGTTCAAGAACTCCAGGCAAACCGAAGACGACGCCTACGCAGAGCGCCAGGAGTCGCTCCTAGAGGGGGGGTTCTGCAACACCAAGCCAGCAGAGGGAGCCCTCGCCCGAGTATTGACTGTTAGCACTCCTCTGCTGTTGCCACTTGTATGACCTGTTTGTCTGTTCGTTTTGACTTCTATTTTGGATTTCCCCCTTTGCCTGTTTGCCTGGTTGGACTGCCTTACTGTGTTTTGACCCCATTGCCTGTTTTTACTGACACTGAGTTTGGTATTGTTGGACTGCTTCAATAAACATCTGCATATGGATTCTTCCTCGGCTTCCGCCTCACCCTCATTACATGTGTATGTGTACTATTTCAATATTTCTTGGGAATAAATTGGCCCATAATAAAGTTTATACAAGTATCATTTTAAGTGTAACAGTAGTAAACTGAGTAACTAGTTAACATCTACCTTTTTCTTTACTCCTGAAAGTTTAAGTAAACTTATTGGTACATTGTTAATTAACTAGTTATATACTTCTAACCCGTTTTTTTTTTTTTTTTTTTTTTTTTTTGATTTTTAAGTCCACTGTGAAGAAAACTCTAATACAAGTTCAATAGTTTTTATACTGCGAGTGTAACTGTATTCCTGAACAAAAGACTGTATAACAGTTCAGGTTAAATATACTTAGACTCTGTATATTGTTTTTTCTACCGCACATGTTAAAGCTTAAATCCATGTATGAAGGCACTCCAGGAACATCAGTGCTGTGTGCCATGAGACATCAGCGGCTGTCAGACTGACTGAGTGTCCTCATACTGACCTCTTCCTGGCTGAAGCTGAAGCTAGAGTCATGCGTGTGTCCCTTTGTGAGGGACAAAAGACATTCACTGGCTATTAGTTACTTGCCTTTTCTTTTGTGGCCTTTTGAAAAGAAAAAAAAATCAATGTGCTGCAGAGCGTAAATGATATTTTTATTGATGCTGCTGTTGGTGCTGGCTGCTGGATGTTGTGGAAGAGGGGAAGGGTAGAAATTATCAATTGAGCTGATATTCCATTAGACTAAGAAACAAACCGATGTCTCAAACGGAGACAAGTCATTCATCATTACTGACTGCACAGAACAAACCTGATAAAGCATGCAAGTTTTTTAAATACAACACTGTCTTGATAGCATCCAAACACTTGTGAATATTGTTTGTGCTTCTTGAATGTAACATTTGAAACGTGCATTTTCTGTAAAGCTGCATTTAAATATTATGCGTTTAAAAAGCACTATACAAATAATCATGAATTGAATTGCATGCTGAATTTGTACATTTGTCTGCACCATCTGCAACCAAAAACATGTTCTTGGTATTATTAGGTTTGTTTGAGAAGCAGCTTTTGCTCAGAAGCAGTTGTTGTGATGTCATGCTGACACGAGCAAGCCTAACAATCCAATAGCCAGTACAGAAAGCAAAAAGCTTAATATCAGTATATATGAGTGAATAATATATGTGAACACTCAGTGTAGGATATATGATTTTTCTGAAATCTAAAAATGGAGGAAACAGATAGACTTTTTTGGAAATTAAATAAAAAGGACATTGGATTACTTCTAAATTCATCTTCACATAAAAGCAGCAGTATTTGAGTTGCATCCACTGAAAACTTCTCAGCTGGTTTACTATGGCAAGTGCCTGTTGTCTGACTTGACAGCTCTTTTCTGGTTCCGTCCCTGACACTCTCATCTACTTTCAAGACGATTCGCCTGGCATCTTATATGAGATGTTAATGTTATTATGAGGTCATCACTGTCAGAGCCTATCAGAGACGTACCTGCTACCTTGGAGTTGTAGGCCACGCCCACTCCACAGATGTTGTTGTTTGAAACCGCAGAAACCTCTCCAGCACACCTGGTGCCATGACTGAAAAACACCAGTCAGACATCACATATTTCACAATGATTTCACATTTCACAATTAGTGTAAATAGAAATATAGAACAAGCTAAATATAAATGTGGCGTTTTTTTAACCTTAAACCGCATAAACACATTGCATTACACCAAATACACAACATAATGTTCTTTTTAGCAACATCATATGACCCCTTTAAGTCGATTTGCACCAGTGTCTACCACCCACAGACGGTCTGGTGGAATGATTTAATCGCACGTTAAAAACCATGATTCGGAAGTTCGTTCACGAAGACGCCAAAATGGGACAGGTGGCTGGAACCCCTCTTGTTCGCTGTGCGGGAGGTCCCGCAAGCCTCGACGGGCTTTTCCCCCTTTGAGTTTCTCTATGGGCATCAGCCCCGCGGGGTTCTGGACGTCCTGAGAGAAACTTGGGAGGAGGGGCCTTCAGAAAGTCGAAATGAATTTCAGTTTGTGCTGGACCTGAGAACAAAACTCCACACCTTTGGGCGGCTGTCAATGGAGAATTTATTACAGGCCCAGGACAGGCAGAGTCGGCTGTACAACAGGGAAACCAGGCTATGTAAATTTGCACCGGGAGAAAAAGTGCTAGTATTGCTTCCTACGTCTAGCTCTAAATTACTTGCCAAGTGGCAAGGACCCTTTGAGGTCACACGGCAAATTGGGGATCTTGATTATGAGGTCATTCGTACGGATAGGGGTGGAGCACATCAGATTTATCACCTCAACCTCCTTAAAAAATGGAGTGAGGCGGAGTCAGTGATGCTAGGGACGGCAGTGAGTGGGGAGGAGGATCTCGGGCCAGAAGTAAATACCAAACTGCAATCTCTAGCTCTGGACCCTGGGGGGCGACCACCTCTCAGCCTCGCAGCTCGCTGATGTAGCCAAGCTACAGGCTGCATTTGCAGATGTGTTCTCGCCCCTGCCTGGTCGAACAGACCTCATACAGCACCACATAGAAACCGAGCCGGGAGTGGTGGTTCGCAGCTGGCCATATCGTTTACCTGAACACAAAAAAAGGTGGTTCAGGCGGAATTAGAGGCGATACTAGAGATGGGAGTAATCGAGGAATCCCACAGCGATTGGGCGAGCCCGATAGTTATAGTACCAAAAATGGACGGCTCGGTACGATTCTGTTTGGATTATCGCAAGGTGAATGCTGTGTCGAAATTCGACGCATATCCAATGCCGCGGGTTGACGAATTGCTTGATCGGCTGGGTGCAGCTCGTTTTAATTCAACACTGGATTTAACTAAAGGATATTGGCAGATCCCCTTATCACCTCTATTCAAAGAAAAAACAGCCTTCACAATGCCGTTTGAATTGCACCAATTCGTTACGCTTCCGTTCGGGTTGTTCGGGGCACCGGCCACATTTCAGCTCCTCATGGATAAAATTCTTTGGCCGCATGCGGCATATGCCGCTGCATAACTAGATTATATTTTTGTTTATAGTAACGACTGGTAGCAGCATATGGAGCATGTGCAGGCCGTACTGAGAGTACTGAGAAGGGCCGGACTGACAGCCAACCCGAAGAAGTGTGCGGTTGGGCATGTGGAGGTCAGGTAACTGGGCTTCCACTTGGGGCACGGGCAGGTGCGTCCCCGAATTAGTAAGACTGCAGCGGTTGCAGCCTGCCCGAGACCCAAGACCAAAAAGGAGGTGAGGCAGTTCCTGGGGCTGGCGGGTTATTATAGAAGGTTTGTACCTAATTATTCGAACCTCACCAGCCCGCTGACTGACCTCACTAAAAAGGAAGCACCAGATCCGGTCAAGTGGATGGAGCTGTGTCAGCAGGCTTTCACCCAGGTAAAGGCTGCTCTGTGTGGCGGACCACTTTTGCACTCTCCTGATTTTTCTCTCCCCTTCTTGCTGCAGACAGACACATTGGACAGGGGGCTGGGAGCTGTCCTGGCCCAGGAGATAGAGGGTGAGGAGCGGCCGGTGCTGTACATCAGTCGGAAGCTCTCTAAGAGAGAGACGATGTACAGCACCATTGAAAAAGAGTGCCTGGCAATCCGGTGGGCCGTTCTCACCCTCTGCTATTATCTCCTGGGACGTGAGTTCACTCTCTGTTCGGACCACGCGCCCCTGCAGTGGCTCCACCGCATGAAAGATACTAATGTGTGGATCACCCGTTGGTATCTGGCCATCCAGCCATTTAAGTTCAAGGTGATCCACAGGCCGGGGCGCAGATGGCTGTGGCTGACTTCCTCAGGGGGGGGCCTGCAGGCCGGATGGCTCCCCGGCCTGAGTCGGGCGGTGGGGGTATGTGGCAAGGGGGGTGTGGTTTAGCAGAGTCTGCAGCAGGAGAGAGAGGTCGGAGACAAGCGGTGAGTAAGTAGGTCAAGTGCAAAATGACATTCACCTGTTTCTCATTTCAGTGATTGGCCTGGAGAGAACGTAAAAGGCTACGCAGAAACCCAGAGCTGGAGAGAAAGAGACAGACTGAGGACTCGTGGGGAAAAGACTGTTGCCTGTGAGGCAGAGAATCAACTAAGTGCTGTGTAGTTCTGTTTATTTGAAGCTCCTGAAGCGCACGTTTGTTTGGAATTGTGAACCAGTTAAATAAATTACCACGAGCCTCAGTCACGCCGACTCCGATTTCTTCCTTACTTTCCTCGAACTTTGTTACAATAAACATCCATAAAGCCGAGAACACACTACACGACTGTCAGGCCGATTATAAATGGAATTTGGTCATAATGACGAATCATGCCCAGTCAGACAGGTCTGCTCCAGTTGGGATCAGTCGCTGTTTGCAGTCGGCAGAAAAAGTCACATAGTTTCTAAAGGTGTCTAAAGATTATATTCTCAGAATTCAAGAATCAGTCGTTTTCACAAAGATTTTTTTAAACATGTTTAATATTTGCGACTGACGCCAGCGATTGTATGCTGCTATGCAGTGGAGATGTGTTCACTGCAAAACATCATTCAGCAGTCATTTTGTAATTTTGTAAAAAAAAAATTTTTTCTCGATTACAAGAAAAATCTTGATTGTTCTTGTGATTTATTTCTTTTCTTTCTTTTAATTCATAAGTTAACACTGCAAATTAAATGGTTTCAGGTTTTTTTTTTTCTGCAGTCGAAGAAAGTATAGCCTAAATTATGTCAGTGGTTTCTCTCATTTTAAAGATTACCAAGAATACTTTTATTTCGATCTGCAGTCTAATAAAAGTTAAGAAAAAAAATTAACTTTTAACTTCTTCTTAAAATTTGTTATGAAGAATTTTAAATCAGCTTCATAATAATAACTCCAAATAGCCTAGACCAATGAATTTTCTTCATAACGAATATGTGAACATAATGAATAGCTTAGCTGTTCTTCAAAACAAAGTTTTCATAAAAAACTTGAAAAATCCAGAATATGACGAAATAAAATGATTCTATATATATATATTAATTAAGCAAACGCGGTGATGAAGGTGGAAGTGACGAACGTGGAAGCGCAGAAGAGAGAGCGAAACAAAACACCGGTCACGAATTAGTAGTACAAAATGAGGATTTGTAAAGAAAAATGTCGGAGGATTTCGATATAAGCCAAGAGGACACTGGTTTTCCTTTGCTGTAAACAAAACTTGTTTCTCGCGAGACTAGCATATTCTCATTGGAGCTTATGCTACTCCTACGTCATACATCATCCACTGGACGCCACTCTCTCGTGAACTCGCGTACGACAGTCAGCGAAAGCTAGAGATTAAGGTTTATAAAGTTGTAAATATGGATATTTTTCTTACAAAAACGCATTACTTCGCTTCAGAAGGCCTTTATTAACCCCCCGGAGCCATGTGAACTTCTTTTATAATGGATGGGTAAAATTTTTTTGGACTTCAAATTTTGGGCTACCATCCACTCCCATTAAAAATCATGGACATTATTTAATATAACTCCGATTGTATTCGTCTGAAAGAAGAATATCCCTTTAACGTCAGTTAACTCGGCGTAACGTCTCCGTTCCCTCCTTCAGGGAACGAGGGTTACATACGTAACCGAGACGATAGCCTTAATGAAAACCTAGTCCAGAGCATTCAGAACCTCAGACTGTGCAGTAGGTTTACCTTCCAACAGGACAATGAACCTAAACACAGCAAGAGTGGCTTATAGACAACTCTGTGAATGTCCTTGAGTGGCCCAGCCAGAGCCTGGCCTTGAACCCAAATTAAATATTTCTGGAGGAACCTGAAAATGTGCGTCTGCCCACATCCAACCTGACAGAGCTTGAGAGGTGAAGAGGCGAGGAGAAGAATGACAGATAATTGCCAAATGCTGATGTGCAAAGCTTGTCGCATCAAACCCAAAAAGACTTGAGGCTGTTAAGGTGCTTCAGCTAAGTAATGAGTTAAGGGTTTGAATACTTATGCAACATACTTATTTCAGTTTTTTATTTGTAATAAATTTACAAAGTTGTGACAGTTCTGGTTTTGCTTTGTCATTATGGTGTATGGAGTGTAGATTGATGTGGAAAAAAAAGTAATTTAAAGCAGTTTAGCATAAGGCTGCAACATAACAAAATGTGAAATAAATGAAGGGGTATGAATACTTCCGCAAGGCACTGTATATACATGCATGTGTGTGTATTTATATATACATTATAAATATACACAGTACACATAAATATATTATGTAAACAAAAACTTTTATTTTGGATGCGATTAATCGCGATTAATAGTTTGACAGCACTACTTTAAAACATTAAACGATTTCTTTATTAATACTTAAGTGTTTACATTGAAACACTATTGTAAACACTGAAAGAGAATTAACTTAATGAAAAGAAAGAGTCAAGAGCCCAACTAAAGCAAACACTGATCACAATAATGGTGGTTTGTCGAAATTTCAACATTAATTGCGGGTGCAAAAGTGATATTAATTTAATGCCATTAACATTGACAAATCAACTATTTTTAACATTGATTCAATGGTTTTCACCTGCTCGCTTGCTATCTGGGAATCTATGTATGAGAACTGAAAACTACAACGGATCCTCGTC